CCGACAGCCACCGCCTTGCGGAACACATTCGCGACGCAGGCATTGATAATTTTTTTATTATATTTGTATTTACTTTATTTTGTTTAATTGTAATTTTTTATTATTTCTCATTTAATACTTACTTTATTTTGTTAAATTTGTTGGACTTTTTTTAATATATTTCAGTTAATTTTGTTTATTACCATTTAATATCAGTTATTGTAATTTGGTTATCATTTACCATTTAATTCTTATTGTATTTAAATACCAAATTATTACTAGTTTGATAAAATTTAATGATTGTGTTCGTTTTTTTAATCTTCATCAGCGATTATCGAATGACATTAACTTGAAGTAAATACAAATTAAAATACAAGAATTATTATTTGATAAACAAATACATCATTTCCTCATCAATTGTTACTTGATGACAACAGAAGTTGACATGTTTTTCTAGTGTGTCATGGGTTTCTACAATGGCCACATATTCTGTCTTGTCTAGATCTTTCTCGAATATCCATATCGTAATGAATTCGATTGGATTTTGGACGACCACGCTCCCTCAATAAACTCGGATTTGGTACAATCGGAAGCCAATCTTAAACCTCATCAGGGTCTTTATCATTACCTATGGGGGGAAACTCAAATTCGTATACCTTAAAAACTTCAGATAGTAGGTATACGTGATCCACAAAATGGTTATAATCTTGACGTGTATGCGAGCAAGCTGCTATCACATGAGAGCATGGATACTTCAGAGCTTGAAAAAACCCGCAGTCACACGTTCTGTCCCTTAGATTTACTCTTAACGACACAACTTCAATCCCTTGAAGAGGTCGCGGTAACTCTGTGACACGAAACATTTCATGCCTTCTAGAGAAGTTTGTTACAGACATTCCATTTGATGCAGCAATTTTTTTTCTGTAGATCTGCAACTAATCTAGGGTGATAGACATGACCGCCTTGCATCCAGGTTTGAGCTTGTCCCCCGAGCTTCGCAAAAAGCGCCCCCAAACGAAAATATATAGTTTTTACCAAAGCCGCTACAAGTAAGTGATGTGCACCCTTTAAGGTTGAATTGATTACCTCAGCCAAGTTGGTCGTCATGTGTCCATATCGATATCCACCATCATACGCGTTCATCCACATTTCCTTTATCGATGAGGCTGATGTAATCGTATCCTTCCTCGTTATTCGCCCGTAAATCTTGAAGCATTGATTCAAACGTTCGAGGAAGTAGTTCGTAACCTGATCAAAAAATGTATAACTTACAAACTTGCTTTCTTTGCAAAATTAAAATGATCAAAAAATGTATAACTTACTAACTTGCTTTCACTTACCCATGCACACAATTAATTTACGCTCATCATTCTTCTTGTACCTTCCATGATAGTTCGCAGCAATGTGTCGGAGATAATACCTATGTTGGACAAAGGGTGGTTGCCACATTGGACCCAAAGACTCCATTGTTTCTTTGATCCCAGCTCCGCGATCTGAAATGACACATATTTTTTCCCTCGTGATAACATGTGCACGTAAATTTCGGAGGAAAAAAGCCCAAGAATCTGTATCTTCTCCTTCGACAAGAGCAAAAGCAACTGGAAGAATGTTGCGATTGCCATCTTGGACAACTGCCAATAATAAAACTTGCTTGTATTTTCCATACAAGAAAGTCCTGTCGATCTGGACCACAGGCTTGCAGTATTTGGCAGCATTAACGCACATTGGGTAACTCCAAAAAACCCGGTAGAATTGGCATCGATTGCGAAGAACACGATCATTATGGTATGTATAGGAGGTTTTGAAGTCCACAATTATCCCAGGATTCAACGTCCGCACCAGCCTAAACCAACCTGGAAGTTCGTTGTAAGATGCATCCCATTTGCCATGAAGTTTGACAATGGCATTTTGTTTTGCCAACCAAGCTTTTTTATAGGAGACAGTGTATCCATACTGCGATTGTATAGCTAAAATCAACACTGCAACAGCTATATGAGAGCTTGCTTTTACCATGGGCATGATGGCTTGGCATATCACTTCAGAGTCCAAGTTGGGACGATCTTGGTTGACCCCTCCAGCACAACATGTGTGAGGACCTTTGTATACTGTTAGTTCTCATATGTTGTTTTTCCTCTTCATTTTCGATACACGAACCATCCAATTGCATCCGTTTTCGCGTCGAGCACAATAACATACATATTTTTCGGTCGTCGATCGGTTGACTCTGGTTTGAACAGAATTACGGATATTGTAATTTTTGATAGCCATTATCGCTTCTTCTTTGCTTGAAAGCTCCATGCCTAAAGATAACTCACCATTATTTATTGATGAGTAATATCCATAGTCACCGAGATGAGGCATATCCACAAATTTTGGTCCGTACATTGCACCATAATCAACTTCATACATGTGTGCAGGAGGGTCAGTTTGTGCCACATTTCCTGGAACTTCATCATCATCGGAGTTGAATTGCGGTGATTTTGGGTGAATGAATAGTCCAGTCTCAGCACCATCCGCACCAGGCTCACGAAGCGGTTCTTCTGGTGGAGATGACGGTTCCTCCATGCTCTCCACATTTAGGTTGAAGAATCTACTACTTGCACGCCTTCCCCTTGAACTGGAAGACATGTCGACATTGAGATCGAAAAAGCTCGCAGTCGAATGCCTCCCCCTGGAGCTTGAAGCCATCGTGTCAAATGGAAACTGCACAGATGGTTGCGTCGATGGCATCTCCATATTAAGATCAAAGGGATTTGCAGATGAATGTCTTCCCCTTGAACTGGATGCGATGTTGCCATACGGATTGTTCGTCGACCCACCTCGGTACATATCGTAAGGAGTTGCGGATGAATGTCGCCCCATTATGGCATTAAAATCATTACACATTACTATAGTCGGGCTGTCAACTTGATCAACTTGTTCAGCCAGCCCATAGTGTGAGCTTAAAGATTGACCCCGAACAGCACGCACTTAAACAAAATGTGCATACATCTCAATAGCGGCGTCTGAATAATTACTTTGAGCTTCAACCATCATTTGAACACCATCATTGTTCGAAAGTTCGAATGTTATATAAGTTAATGGCAATAATGATGTTGGAAATATGTACTGCAACGATGACATTTTTCTACTACTTCCATCATGAATATTCCTCGAAATCTTCGTTATCAGCTCCTCAAGAGTTATGTTTCTCTTGAATGATATTTTAACACGCTCATTTGATACGAAAACAACGCCAGTTTCATCTTCTCGAATTTCACCATCATAATAAACAATAGCTGAAAGTCGCGTCATTCTTTGAGTTTAAAAGTGCGACAATATTATATCTGCAAAAAAAAAAATAACTGAAACAAATCTGATTAAATAAATTATATATGAACGAAAATATAACACAAAAAAAATTTACACATCAACGTAAATAATTTAAATAATATAATTTTATATTATTACATGCACCGCAAAACTATTTCGACGCATGCTCCCGCTTTTGAATTTTACAAACATAAAAATTAATTGAAAATAATTAGTATAATATTTTTTTCAAATAATGATAATAAACAATAAGTATAATTAAAAAATTATAACAAAATTACCTTATAACGAAAAATCGCACGAACTTCTAACAAATATGATAAGATTGTCAGAATTATTACTCGTTAACGGAATTGTTGTATTAATTTATAAGAGAGGAGAGATACGAGGAGATGTGAAAACCGGATGTTATAAACATATAAGGCGCGGTACATGTACCGCGTCATATGTAATTATTATATAGCGCGGACCAGAGACCGCATTAAATATAATTTTGGTACGGCGTATAGCGCGCCCCCTGATCCGCGCTATACCCCCTACGTGGCGTATAGCGCGGAGTAGGGGGCGCGCTATACCCCACGTGTAACCCAGTCAGCGTATAACGCAGTACATGGGGCGCATTATACTCCACGTGGTGCCAAATCAGCATATAGCTCGGTTCAGGGGGCATTTTACTGCTACAGGTGTTAGATCGGAAAATATAATCTGACCGGTGTTAGATCGATAAATATACTGATCACCAGTGATTTTTCGGGAAAACACCCAAGTGTGATGATAAATAAGAGTGGATAACCCTATTTATAGACCTTCTCGCACAGGGAGAAATATGATTTTAAATAAAACTTGCGTTCTGCAATATGCGAGTTACTTTGAAAACACGCATAATTGATTTCGTTCCTAGAATCTCACGGTTTGCAAGACACAAGATCGCTTTTTTATCTTTTAAATTTAAAAAATATATTGTAATTATTTATTATATTTAATATTTTACACATATAATTTTTCATTATTTCAAAATTTACAAAATATATTATAATTATTTTTTATAAAATATATATTTTAAATTATATCAATATATTATATTTTAATTATTAATTATTTATTATTTTTAATATTATTAATATTATGTTTATTTATTATATTCATTTAATTTCTATATTTTAAATTAGGGTGTTATACGAAATTCGAAAGAACCTCGAGCTTTGCAGGCTATAAGATTCCCCATAAATCTTGTTATATTTTAGATTATAAAAACTAACTCGAGGTTCGCAATATACAATATCATTTTATCTAATTATTTTATTAACTTACCTAAACACGTCGGATGTATCTTATGTATCGAAAGGTACAAAAATTTAATACACTGTTTACATGTCACGAAATCCTTCACATTTGAACGATTTATGTATTATGCTTTTAAATAATTTCTAGAGTATCATATTTTTTTAAATAATTATTTATTTGATGTTTTTAATATAAAATGTCCTAAGAAATACTGGTAACTTGACAGTTGACAGTTCTGTGGTAGCCAATAGGCAGTGGGCGTAGGCTGCAGTTTTGGCTTGTTGCTCTCTATAGCTGTCCACCATCCCCCCTTTCAAATTCCTACTATAGCCTATACGTATGCTCTGTAGTTGTATGGATGGAACATAGCCGTTTGATTTTAACTCCATAAATCAAAATCCCACCTAATACTCTGTACTCCAAATATGGGCTGCTGCTTCAGCTCCACCCCCTCCCCCAAACCCAAGCATCCACCGCACCAAGCGTCCCTAAAACGCCGCCATTCACCCCTTCAATCTCCCATTTTACAGTCTCACAAAACCCTTTCTCCTCCTCAAGAAGATGATGAAGAAGAAGCTGTTATAAAAGAAGTATTGGTGCTTTCAGAAACACCCAAACTACCCCACGATGACCAACAAGAGAATAACACTCAAACTCCTCCGCCCCTCCCGCCGCAGCCGCCCAAAACCGAAACACCGGTTTCCCATCCGATCAAGCAAAAACAACAACAACAAGAAGAAGAGCCAGAGAAAGAGGAAGAAACCTCTCATATCTCTCAACAATCGGAGATTTACAGCGTCTCTGAAACCATAACGACGACGACGACGACAGCAACGGAATGGCTTAACGAAGATGAAGCAACGAGCAAAGTCAACAGCCAACTCAAACACAAGACTACAGCAAAGGCAATCAAAAAACGACCCAGTCCCACCAATGGAGACTCAACCAGTGTCCGAGCCAGAAGAGAAAGCGCCCGTGGTCGAGGACAGGGATTAACTGCGGCAAGAACTGTGCAACGTAACGTGGGATCCAGGTCCAGGTCACCCGGAACCGGAAGAGCCGGTGCCGTCGGGAAGAGTGCCGCGACGGCGACCGAAAAAACCGATAATAAGACAACTAGCGCGACGGTGGAGGGGCAGAGTAAGAGAGAGGAAGATTGGAAAAACGACGTTTCGGAGCAGCAGGGCAGTGAGTCAATCGAGAACCCCCATGTTTCTTTAGAGTGCTTCATCTTTTTATGAATAGTTTTGCTTTAAAAAATCTGCAAAAGCTTTCTTCTGCAGTGCGCTGATTCTTAATCTGGCGTGTAGTAGACATGTTTTTCTTGTATTCAACAGTTTCAAGCTGCAACCCCAAAGCTTCTATCGAAATAAAGTAATGGCGAATCATCGTTCCAAGGTACACGATTCCAAAAAAGTCATGTTTATACGTTGGAAATTTGAAATTAATCAATACTTAGACAAATAATTATAATATTATATTATAATCACTTCAAATTATTCAATATTTTATTTTCCTTCAAATCAAAAATTCAAATCAAAGAAAACTTATTATAATATTATATTAATTTACCATCAAGTAATTAAGCCTATGAATCAATAATATTGATTATAGCTAGTGAATATAAATTTGTAGTAAATTACGTATTTAGTATTTAAATTATTATTTTTATTTTTTTAGTATTTAAATTTTTAATTTTTTAAAATCATATTTAATGTTTAGTTTTGTTTCATTTTAATATCCAATTATTAAAAACTTAATAGTTTAGTATCTAAACTATTAATTTTGGTCTGTTTTAATATTTAAACTTTCAATTTTTTTTTCAAATCTAAACATTAACTTTTAAATAGGAGTATTAAAATGAAATAAAAATTAAACATTATGTATGAGTTTGAAAAAATTAAAAAATTATGTATTAAAAATTAAACCAGTAATAAAATGGGTACCAAAAAATAAATTGGATTTAAATGGAGGTGGTTCTACTAGTGGTGTCCAACTTGATGTTTTGCAGGCTTGGATGGGTTCACAGCATTGTTTCTCCAAAAGTTCATTTAATAATAATATTATTAATAAAATATTTTCTTTTAGAAATATTTTATAAAATATTTAATATAATAAATTTAAAATTTCATTTCAATGACATATATCGTCCAAAATTTTATTATATTATTATTAATAATATATTCACCAATATTGTATAAAAATATTTATTAAAGAAAATAAAATTATAGAAGCACCACTACTTAATTTTTAATAAAATTATAATTTAAAAATTGAACAAATTGATTATTAAAATAAATTCAAAAAAGGAACAATAGAAGATGTGCATATTTATACCGGTATAAGTATGTTTATTTCTAGATGTCATTATTTTGATACCTAGAAGTAAATATATACTTACATTGGTGTAATTATGTGCATCTAAATTAATGAATTGAAATACAAATAAAAAATTAAAGAAAAAAGTAAAATAATATTTTTATAAGAAAATATCATTAATAAATAAACGAGTCAATAAATGATATTATAAAGGAGATAATAAAAGAATTTGTTCGTGAACACAAACAAATCAAACACACGCATGTTTGTTCGTTTATTAAACAAATATATATATATATATATATATATATATTATTTTATATTTGTTTATTTAACTTAATAAACAAACATAAATGAATGTTATACAAACGTTTCAGGAACAATTCATCCAATGTTATATTTATATATACCCTTATTTTAGTCATATTGTACATTAATTTATCGAGTATTAATAATACACATACATTTATATAACTTTATTTAAACATTTTAATTTTTAAATTATGTTACCTGCGCTGCACTCATTCCATTTCTCGAAAAATACTTCATCAAGGCTATTAAGGAATTTTTTATTATTTTTTTGCCATAGGGAAGATGTAAATAAGAACAATACACCACGATTAATAATTAATTTGGAAATTGAGATACATTATTACTTAGGCAACACATAGTTTCCCACTGGAAAATGCAAACACAACTAGACTCCAAGACTTCACTAAAATGAACAACGAACTCCAGTTACCGATTGCCTTTACTCTAATGGATTCGAAGTTTCCATAGCCCAGCACATGTTCAAGGACGTGCTACACCACGGCCTCCCGGGATCGGCACCTCGAAACCAGGGTTAGGAACGAATGTGTCATCACCGCCCGGAATCTGGCTATTTTCACCTGTACTCGTGCCGCCAGAGTATCCTCCACTGCTGCCGCCACTGGCAGCGTGACCACCACCGATGGTACTGTGTGGATGGTGATGTTTGAAAACCGGTGGCAGCAACACTCGTCCGAGGCCCGGAATGAGCACGCTGCGGTCATGTTTCAGAAACTCCGGATGCTTCATTTGACCATCGTTCTTCGGCATGTCTCGTGCCGCATTGGCTTGATCAGAAATAGCAAGCAGGATGCCGACGGCGAGAAGGAGACCGACAAACAAGGAACTCATTTTGGTAGCCATTAGAATTCAATTGGTTTCTGGTTTGGTGGTTAGAATTAGCTAAGGATTCTTATATAGGGAAGGTTTCAAGCGAGTTGGTTGATCATATGGCGGTGAGTTAAAAAGAGGGTTCCATGTTGAAAACACCATTTGAAGGTGACGTTCCAAAAACACAAGCTAATGCATGTATCATGCAATTATGATAGCTTGAATTGCATTGGTAGGTTAGGTGACTTGGGTTTTAGGGGGAAAATCTAGACATTACAATTCATTTACGATACACATTATCATCTGATTCATTAATAATATATTCCGTAAATTATTTTGAAAATTTAAAATGTTGAAGAAACATAGTTGTAATGCCCCATTGCAAAAATGCTAAATGCATCCAACCAAAACGGAGGCAATAAAGGATTGAGATTTTTAATCCATTTTGCCCATATGAGTACGTATATTGAATGCGTGTATAAATTTAGGTGAGTATTGAAGCTATGTGTTTGTTGAATACTTATTCTCCATGACGATTGACTGCTCATATACGTTTACCCAGGCAATGCTGCCATGCCGACAGGGTAAGCGTTTTAAAAAGTTCCAACCCGCACCTTTTTACCCACCGAATGCTATTCTGGTCTCCATTTCGCTAGAAAACATCTCAATCTCCCTAAAGCGATAATGAACTCTCCGATTTCTTCATCCCATAATCTCTTCACCGTCCGGTAGGCCTGAAACTTGACTGTGTTGGTCAACTAGTTATTCTCTCGTGGTCCACCGTTCTAATTGGTAGTCTGTCCATCGGAGTAATGCCATGTTAGTCCATCTGTTAAGTTTTTACAGTGAAATACTAAAATGAAACAAAAATTAAATGTTAGGTATGATTTTAAAAAAAATGAAAGTTTAGATACAAAAACGGATCAAAACTGATAGTTTTAGTAGTTCAGATACTAAACGCATAGTTTACCCATATTTTAAATATGTGCAGTATTAAGATTAGAATCCCAACGGCCCAGGATACTATGACGCAGCCTCCATTGAACCGAGTTGATTGACATTGCACCTCTGCTCGGATCTCCTCCAATAGGTCATCTCGATTGCTGGTAATTCTACCAACCTATACCCGAATATGTCACAGATATTGCAAATTCGTAGTCCTCGTAATTCATTAACGTATCCACTATTTAGATCACATCTTAAAATTAATCACTCTATACTAAACAATCTCTTATGACACTTACGAATAAAAAAATCCATCTAAATACTTATGAATAACCATTGCTTTTCACTTATAAATAAAAAGTCCAACTCAACACCCAAGTCTTTGCCTCTATGAAGCTTTCTCTCCTCCAAACCCAATCCTTCCCCTGAGCCTACACAAGACCGGAGGCAACGCCAAGACTGATCCATTTGTTTATTTATGTAGGAATTCGAAGCATGCTCAAAACAAGTTCAAGTGTTGAAAGCAGAGGTGAAGGATATGCTGCTGGATTCTGCAACTGATCCAATATCAAATATGCATCTGATACATACCCTATGCCGCTTAGGAGTGTCGTCATTTCGAAAATGAAATAGAAAAGCAATTAGCTCACCATTTTGTCACGCTGGGTGAAGTCATTGACCTTGATTTACACAAAATTGCAGTCATATTTAAAGTTTTCAGATTCCATGGCTATAACTTGTCTTCTGGTAAGGGCAGTCTAACATATGTATGTATGCATGAATATAGAGAAGATACTTATGCTATATTATTGGGTATTTACAACAGATGTTTTTAACAAATTCAAGGATGAGAATGGCAAGTTTAAAGCCAGTGATATAAAGGGGATTATCAGTTTACTTGAAGCTGCCCAGTTTAGGATAAATGGTGAAGCTTTTTTAGATGAAGCCCTGAGTTTCACAAAACCGGAGTTGCAGTCCATTGCAAGCCAATCAATTGATCCTCACTTACTGAATACATTGTAACTTCCCTGAATCGTCCCTACCTCAAAGACTTGGAAAGACTAGAAGCAAGGAAATTCTTCCAGATCTACGAAAATGAGAAATCGAGAAACGAGACTCTGCTTGAGTTTGCTAAATATGATTTTAACTGGATCCAGATGCTACATCAGCAGGAACTAAAAGCACTATGCGAGTAATGAAATCCTTTTATACCGTAACGGCCAAACCATGACCCATTATTCTGATGTATTGTTTGTGTTGCAGATGGTGGAAAGAAGAAAATATGGCATCAAAGTTTCCGTATATGAGACATATACTTGTCGAGGTCTACTTGAGGGCTGTCGGGTATTATTTTGAACCACGTTATGCTCGTGCTCGCTACATGTATACTAAATTGGCAATGATGTGGGAATTAATGGATGATACAAACGATGCCTATGCTACTTTTGAATAATTGCAATGTCTCACGGATGCGATGAAAAGGTTATCAAATTTTCTAACTAATCTACTGTGTATCATTCATTCCAGTCGAACTTCGAAGACCACTGAATCTGATACTGAATGTGTGTGTGATTTCAGATTTGATAACAGTTCCATGGATAAAATTCAAGAACCTTACTTGAAACTTGTATGTAAGACTATTAGATGTTCATGACGACGTAGAAGAGATGGCTAGAGAGGAAGGGAGATCCTTCGCCAGTCTCTTACACTAGGAATGAAGTAAAATAGATGAACTTACGTTACACCAATCAATATCTCCTGGATTATGAATATATTCTCATACTAATTAATATCTAATTATTAACAACTTAATTTCTCGTCTTTACAATGATATTGCCACCAAATAGGTATGTGTGTATATATAGATTATTTTGTTCAAATATTTTGTTAACTGGCCGAGTGCTAATGGTTGAGGTGGAAGAAGAGAGGGGACTTATAACCGGAACTGGTTGCTACATGAAGCAATATGGTGTGTGTCGTAACCAGTTTTCGTCCGGGCACGAAATATTAAATTTTGTGGGGGAAGTTGATGTGAATAAATGGTTTTGAAAATAATTTGGGAGTCGCCATCGGCCTTTTGGGTCAGGTAGGTCGAATACCTAAAAATTATCTTTTAAAAAGAAGTTTTTAAGAAAACATTATTTAAAAGATGAACTGATCTGCGTTTTATAACCAAAAATTCGTTATTTTTAATAATAAAAAGGGATTCGTGGTCGGTTACGTTTAGGGAAGGATTAGCACCCCTACAACGCCCCAAAATTGGTACTTTTTAATTATAAATTGTCTCTATTATTAAAATTTAAAAATTCAAAAATATGTTTAATTTATAATCATATTATTTCAAAATTATATAAAAAAATATTTATTTATTTAAAAATATCAGAAAAGAACTTCTAGGTGCCTTAAGACAGCTCTTTTCTTTGATATTGATAAATATTAATTTAAATAATATTGTTTAATTTTAAAATACCAGAACAGGACATCCAGTTGTATTAAGACTGTCCTTTTCTTTGATATTGAAAGCTAAATATTAAAATAATTCATTTAAAATAAATATTTAAAAATTTAATTACTATTATTATATATTTATGAATATATAAAAATATTTAAAAATATAAACAAATAAAATAAAAATACCACTAAAACAATATATTTTAAAAACAATAAAATAAATGAAAACATATAAAATAAATGACTAAATTATAGTGAAAATGAAATTAAAAATCTAATTCATAATTAATAGAAATATTAGGGATTAAAACATGCCATTTCTTTATTTTATTTATTTAATGACTAAAATAAAATTATCTAAAATGAGGATATTAGATTAAAATAAATTAAAAATATAAACTCAGGATTAAAATATTATTTATTAAAATTAAGGGACTAAATATGTTATTTATCCTAAATATTTATAAATACGGTTAAGGGCTAAAATATAATAAAATAAAATTTAAACACTAAATTAAAATGATTAAAAGTCAATTTCAATGACTAAATTGCAAAGTTACAAAACTATAAGGGTTGCGGAAAGGGTTTACCCTTTTTTAAATTACACAGATACTCCTCCCCCTTAAACGACGTCGCATGGATGAGGGTTTATAAACCCTAAATGCCTGGCCCGAAGGGCCAAGCTTCTCATTTGCCTCATTTCTTTCTCTCTCAAAACGAGAGAACCAGAGTTCTCTCTGGTTTCTCTCTAGTTTCCCTCGCCGGAGGGAAACCGGCAGTCATAGGCCACCGTACTCCGCCGCCGGCCACCGCCGCCGGCCACCGTAACGGTGGTCGGAATTCACCAAAACACCCCCAAAGCGTAGATCTAAACGTCCTAAGACCGATTTCGGTCTTTGTTTTCCCTAAAAGACTCCTAATCGGAGTAAATCTACAAAAATACCTTCGGTATTTTCTGTTCTCCGGCGATGTTTGGGGTTCTCCGATGACAGAGTAAGTTCCTCTGTTCTCTTCTTCTTCTTTTTTTTCTTTTCTGGTTTGTCGTTGATTGGGATCGTTGGTAGCTCTTGCTTTGTTTTTTTTTTCTGTTTTTTTTCTTGTCGTTCTCTGCCGTCTCCCTTCTTTCTTGCAGGTGTGGTGGCTTTTATAGCCACCACTGAGGCTCTCGTCGGACCGGTACCAGTGGAGACTTCTGGTGAGTCACCATAGCTATGTGGTGACTCACCCCATAGCCGTGACATGTGGGGAGCAGCTGGCCTTCTGGAGACTTCTGGCGAGGTCATCGTGGCACTGAAGCGTCGGCAAGGCGGCTGGAACTCACTGGAACTTTGGAGCGGCGGCTGGGACGTGGCTATGTAGAAACTAGGGTTTAGAAACCCTAGCTGCATTGTTGGACCTCCTGTGGACCGTTGGATCTCTCAGATCCAACGGCTGTGATGATGAGGCGGCTAGAGATGAATGAAAACCCTAATTGGGTTTAGGGTTTGGGCTTGTAAAATGGGCCTGATTATTTGGGTTTGTAATAATTATTTAATAATAATATAATAATAATAATATAATAATAATATTTATAATAACAATAATTTTAATTTTAATAATAATAATTTAAGTAAAATGAAAAATTAGTGTTCACAGCTGCCCCTCTTTGCTC